GGTTAAACAATGTGGAAAAACCCAAGAGATATACCACAACTTTTTGTTTTTGAGGATATAAATGCAGTGTCCCACCTAGTTAAGAGTTAGAAAACTTTTCCCTCAATATTAATATGGTAAAGATTTCACTTTGATAATCGTCCAAACATCTGGTGAATCTGGTCTCCACAGGGATATCATGAGATACATATCAAACACATCAGATCAAAACCTGATGAAAAAAAAAACACAAACCCCGATCAAAACAAAAGAGAAAGAAATGAATGAGAAACGAAAGTGTTCAGGATTGAGAGTCAAGTGGCTCGCTGTAGTGTTCAGATGATGTTCAGCACCATGGACAGGGGCTCAGATTAAACACACACTCACACACACACACACACACACACACACACACAACCACAACTTTTTTGTTTTTGAGGATATAAATGCAGTGTCCCACCTAGTTAAGAGTTAGAAAACTTTTCCTTCAATATTAATATGGTAAAGATTTCACTTTGATAATCGTCCAAACATCTGGTGAATCTGGTCTCCACAGGGATATCATGAGATACATATCAAACACATCAGATCAAAACCTGATGAAAAAAAACACAAACCCAGATCAAAACAAAAGAGAAAGAAATGAATGAGAAACGAAAGTGTTCAGGATTGAGAGTCAAGTGGCTCGCTGTAGTGTTCAGATGATGTTCAGCACCATGGACAGGGGCTCAGATTAAACACACACTCACACACACACACACACACACACACACACCCAAACAGACACACACACACGCACAAATCATAAATCAGTATATATGGACAGACATGCTGAGAGGCTGCTGAGTTGGTAAGAACAAGAACATTAGTTACTGATGCGATTTGATGCTAACACAATAACTCTGTATTGTTATAAAGAACAATCATATTTTATTTTGTTCAGTTATATACAAATAAACACACACAAAACACATTATTATGCATTACACATACATTTTTAAGCATGATGAGAAAATTACATAAATCACTTCAGCAGGTGCAATGGTTGTGTTTACTGACTAACATGCATTTACTGTAATCACTGGCTCATAACTGCATGTAATGTTAGACATTAATGTGATTACAGATAACTTTTGAAGGAACATCATCAGGACCGTCTGTGTCATTCAGCCCCTCAGTAGATGATGATGATGATGATGATGATGATGATGATGATGGAGCAACTAATCAGAGGGGTTTATGGGTAATTGGGTTGTAGCATAGACTGTTTTAGTTCCTGTATCTGGATCCGTGTGAGGTCTGGTGTCTGCAATTTCCTCATAAATGCAGCCCGTTTGAGGAACCTGACAAGAGAATGAACAATTATCTACAGGTCTCGAGGTTCTCTCACAGCAAGATTATGGTCATCTTCACACTGTACAAACACATTACTATCAAACACATTGACTTTACCAACCGCTTCACTGTTTTCTGTTCCAGGTTCAGGCATTCTAGAGGCTGAATCAGAGCCTGTAAAAACAAATATACTAGACTATAATATAATTAGACTCTAAATAACCGTTATATAGTAATATAATACCATGCTTTAAATATTTTTCAAACAAATGCATTTCTAAACAGGTGCAAGTAAAAACGTTTCTTGTGATTTCAAAAGAAAGTGGTTTACTGTGAGCCTGATGCCTCTTGCAGAGAGCCACGATCACTAACACGAGTACAATGATGAGCAGAACCGAAATCACAGACAGACCGATGATCAGAGACGAGCCTGAGAGAACAGGAGATCAAAACATCAGAAACTCACAGTGCAATGAGAATGCAGAGATTACGGTGTCTGGAGGTAAACTGGACATCCGACTGCCATAAATGTAGCATAATGTGAAGTTCATTTGGCCATTTGTGCATAAATATGAACATAGGATCCAGGTTTGGTATTAACTATTAAACTCTTATTGCATCTTCAGTTGTTCTGAACTTCCTGATATATAATAAAGTCTATTTTACTGCCAGCATCTGCACTTTAACATGATTTACGCACCAAGTTACTAAAAATAACATGCAGTGTTGCAATGCAAAAAGTACTGATGCTAGTCAGTACTTAAGTTGAATAATGACACTATTGCCTATTTAGAGCTTCTTTAAAGCAGATTTTGAATTGGTCTCATATTTCATGGATATAAAAATATACAGAAATAAGGCTGACTCGACTTGTCTCATGACATTCACAAATCAAGATGCATTTATTTAAGACACAAAATGTCAAATCTTAAAATTAAGCAAATGTTTAAATTTGGTCGGAAAATATAAACTTCATTCAAATCTGAAAACAGGTTTATATTCTATAATTTGTGCAGCAGATTACCTAAACTAACAGCCCTGATGATGGCCATGTTCAAAATACGGGTTAAGTGCATCTGGGTTACTCACCTGATATACTTAGTTTCACTACAGTGTAGTAATATGTTCCTGATCTAGCAAATACACACCGGTACGTCCCAGAATCCAGCGATCTCAGATCTCTGATGCTGACATTGAGAACTGCTGCACTTCTGTTGTCATACACAGAGAATCTTCCAGAATGAAACCACGTGTCTTTAGTCTCCGTCGTAATGAGGTTAGAGCACTTTAACCTCCGCCATTTACAAAAATACTTTGCATTGTCTGTATATTTTCTATCATATTTGCATGTGATGTTGACTACACCCCCTGAATGTCCTGTCACACTGATTGAGGTCACAGTACCTGCAAAACAAACCATACTAAAATGCTTTAATATGTTCCTCATGAGGCTTGAATGAGACCCACATTCAAAGATTCTTACCAGGAATCATCAGTAGAGTGAAAATGAAAATCTTCATTATTCCCTCTTATTCAATGATCTTCTCTGTTGCTGGTAGATTCAGTTCTTCTGAAGCACTCGATGTGTGTTTCTGGTGGTGTTTCTGTCACGAATGCGATGAGATGCTGCTGTGTGTACAACTGAAACAGAGAGAGAAAGATCACAAAAACAGAATACAGTAAGCAGAATACAGAATACAGAACTGTTAACATATCAAGTGTTTTTGCTACATGTTTTTCTCCATGCTTCATGACTTCCTCTTTGTTTTCCTTGCGGCCTTTGAATGAAAAAAAAACTTCATTAGTGACATGAAGAAGTAAGTCAACACACTTCTCACACTTTCACTTTACTTCCCTTCTCCCGTATTCAAATAAAAAGCCTCATTTTCCTCATTCAGTTCAGCAAAAGCTGAAGTTTCTTATAAAATAAAAATGAGTTTAATTTTACACATGAATTAATTTGTCCATAAACTGTAGGTTCGCCTGTATTATGATTTGAAACCGGATCCTGTTAATCACAGATGAGACACAAAGCTGTGAAGCGCTCATGTTTTTGTGTTTGTTTTTATGTTTTTCTGTGTCTGTTTCCTTGTAATTTAATTAGTCAAAGCACTTTGTCCTGTATGTAATGCCAGTGTAGAGCAACTTCCTGACCATACACACAACTGTTTAGCTATACAAAACTGCCTCTTTCAAAACTGCCACTGCCTGCATTTCACTTAAGTAATCAAAAATACCCAAATAACATCTGTAATGAGAACAACATAACATACAGCTGCAAAAGCTGTAAATGTCTGAGAACTTAACAATAAATATAGAAAGACTGAATAAAGTTTTAAGTAAGTTCAGTGACTGGCTGTCTACATCTATTCCACAAAGTCAAGCAGATGAGGACTTTTAAACCTCAATTAAACCGTTATTTATCTGAACTTTCTTCATAAACTTAGGGATTGTTTTTGTCCTGTCACCGATGCATTGTGTGTGTGTGTGTGTGTGTGTGTGTGTGTGTGTGTGTGTGAGAGAGAGAGAGCGAGAGAGAGAGAGAGAGAGAGAGAGAGAGAGAAAGTCAAGCGGCTCACTCTAGTGTTCAGATTATGTTCAGCACCACGGACAGCAGCTCAGATTCAACACAATCACATTTACAGACACGGTCTGATGAAATGACACTTCATAAATGCTAAATAACTAACCTTCGAGAGCTGAATACGTGAATTCACATTTATAAAAATCACAATTTGAGTTTTCCAAACTTACTTGAATGACATGAAACTGATCAAAACTTGCTCGCTCTAGTGTTCAGATGATTTTCAGCACCACGGACAGCAGCTCAGATTCAACACAAACACATTCCCAGTCTGTCCAGATGAGCTCCTGTTCTCATCAACATGAATTTACACTTCAGAAATGATTTATAATATCGAATAACTGAGCTTCAAGAGCTGTGTATGAAACTGAAACGTAGATCAATTCATAATGCAGTTTATGTGGACAGACATGCTGAGCTGCTGCTGAGTTTGTAAGAACAAGAACATTAGTTACTGATGCGATTTGATGCTAAAATAATAACACTGTATTGTTATAAAACAATTATATTTATGTTGTTCATAGTTATACACAAATACACACACATTTTAAGCATATTGAGAAATTTCCATAAATCACTTCAGCTGCTACAGCAACAAACTGAAATGGTCAATAACTAATATGTATTTACTGTAATCACTGGATCACATGAACTTCTGCACTGCTAAACTGTAGCATAAACAGTGTTAGAAGAATCAGAGAGGTTTGTGGGTAATTGTGGAGATGCAGAGACTGTTTTAGTAGAATCAGAGGGATTTATGGGTAATCCTGGAGTAGCATAAAGAGTGCAAGAATCAGATGGATTTGTAGGTAACTGATTCTTAGTTGTGGGTAATTGTGGAGTAGCATAAACTGTGGTAATAGAACCAGAGGGGTCTGTGCGTAATTGTGGAGTAGCATAAACTGTGGTAATAGAACCAGAGGGGTCTGTGCGTAATTGTGGAGTAGCATAAACTGTGGTAATAGAACCAGAGGGGTCTGTGGGTAATTGTGGAGTAGCATAAACTGTGGTAATAGAACCAGAGGGGTTTGTGGGTAATTGTGGAGTAGCATAAACTGTGGTAATAGAACCAGAGGGGTCTGTGGGTAATTGGGCAGTTTTGCAGTCAGTGTGAAGTCTGGTGTCTTTAATCTCCTCATAAATGTAAGGAATTTGAGGAACCTAAGAAGATAATGAGATATTATTAACAGCTTTTGATGAAAGTCATTCATTCAAACATTCATTATTATCAAACTATTTGATTTCACAAACCGCTTCACTGTTTTCGGTTCCAGGTTCAGACATGTTAGAGGCTGAATCAGGGTCTGTAAAAACAAATCTACTATATTAAATATAGTAATAATAATAACTCACATTCAATAATATTGCACATATATCAGTTCTGACCAGCAGGGGGAAACAACATCTTTCCATCCACTCATTCATTAGCCAAGCATGTCATTCACTGGCAAACAACTGTAAACATTATTCTAATTAACAAATCACTCTAACAAACTTATAAATGACTTACAAATGGCATGCAAAGGAAGTCGTGGAACTAGTTGATTTGATTTTAAGACAAAACCCACCTTTATCTCGAGCCTGACGCTTATTCTTGCAGAGAGTAACTATACATGAAACGAGTCCAATGATGAGCAGAAGCAGAATCACAGACACACCGATGATCAGAGACGAGCCTGAGAGAAAACACAACGAGAGCCTGATTCTCTCTGATGCCTGCAGGTAAATGAGTGAAAATGAATGTATTGATCACCAGAATACCATTGACAGACGGAGAACTCAGTGTGAAATCAGATGTTGATGGCTGGGAATTTAGTGAAATAGGTGGAGTTGTGATTGATGATGGTGATGATGATGATAATGATGATGATGAGGATGATGAGGATGAAGGTGACAAGGGTGGTGGATGTGTGCTTTTCCCTTAAAAATATAGAACGTTATTGGCTGTGAAAATCAATGCACAAACTTTCAAGCTTTAAATGATTTTAAAACCCTATAAAGTTTTATTTTTGTAAATGGTAAATCTTAAATCTTATAATAAAACTTGTTCATTTTAAATTCAGACACTCATATGAAAAGGCAAACATCCTGCCTCCCATTACGATCATACTACACCTACAACTATAAATAACAAACAGTATATTATTATTATATTATATTATCTAGTACATATACAACTGTTAAAACAGTCACAATACAAACACGCTTATCCACCTCCTTAAAACACGCTTTAGCCCCCTGTAGTCATCTTTAGGAGAACATTTTTCAGATCGCAGACTTATAAGTTGCTAATTTAACATATTGTTAATATGGTTCCTGACACAACACATACCCCTACACATGTCTCTTTTCGACATAACCTACGCTCACTCTCACCCTCCCAGCTATCTGCTATGGTTTCATCTTTGCTTCCTTCCCCTGAACAGTTATCATCTCTTGATGTTAACAGTGCTACTGATACTTTCTGCTCCACTCTTACATCTTGTTTAGACACTGTCTGCCCCTTGTCTTCCAGGCCAGCTCGTACCACCTCTTCTGCCCCTTGGCTGTCTGATGTTCTCCGTGAACATCGTTCTAAGCTCAGAGCTGCAGAAAGAGTATGGCGCAAATCACAAAATCCTACTGACCTTAATGTACTGTATATCAATCACTCCTCCCTTCATTCTCTGCTAATGTCTCCACTGCTAAAAGGACATACTATCACAACAAAATTAACAATTCGCCTAACTCTCGCATGCTCTTTAAAA